TTAATATGATACAATGGTTTATAAAAAGAAATGCTTTAGGCCCACCATCAACCTTTTTTCATAACTGGAGAAAAGATATGTTAGTATTGAAACGTTCCTCCGTAGTAATACTGTCTGTTGTAAGAGTAATTTCTATAGTGCTAACAATATCTACTGTCTGTTGCAAGAGTAATTTCTATAGTGCTAACAATATCTACTGTTTGTTGTAAGAGTAATTTCTATAGTGCTAACAATATCTACTGTTTGTTGTAAGAGTAATTTCTATAGTGCTAACAATATCTACTGTTTGTTGTAAGAGTAATTTCTATAGTGCTAACAATATCTACTGTTTGTTGTAAGAGTAATTTCTATAGTGCTAACAATATCTACTGTTTGTTGTAAGAGTAATTTCTATAGTGCTAACAATATCTACTGTTTGTTGTAAGAGTAATTTCTATAGTGCTAACAATATCTACTGTTTGTTGTAAGAGTAATTTCTATAGTGCTAACAATATCTACTGTTTGTTGTAAGAGTAATTTCTATAGTGCTAACAATATCTACTGTTTGTTGTAAGAGTAATTTCTATAGTGCTAACAATATCTACTGTTTGTTGTAAGAGTAATTTCTATAGTGCTAACAATATCTACTGTTTGTTGTAAGAGTAATTTCTATAGTGCTAACAATATCTACTGTTTGTTGTAAGAGTAATTTCTATAGTGCTAACAATATCTACTGTTTGTTGTAAGAGTAATTTCTATAGTGCTAACAATATCTACTGTTTGTTGTAAGAGTAATTTCTATAGTGCTAACAATATCTACTGTTTGTTGTAAGAGTAATTTCTATAGTGCTAACAATATCTACTGTTTGTTGTAAGAGTAATTTCTATAGTGCTAACAATATCTACTGTTTGTTGTAAGAGTAATTTCTATAGTGCTAACAATATCTACTTTCTGTTGTAAGAGGAATTTCTATAGCGCTAACAATATCTACTGTTTGTTGTAAGAGTAATTTCTATAGTGCTAACAATATCTACTGTTTGTTGTAAGAGTAATTTCTATAGTGCTAACACTATCTACTTTCTTTTGTAAGAGTAATTTATATAGTGCTAACAATATCTACTTTCTGTTGTAAGAGTAATTTCTATAGTGCTAACAATATCTACTTTCTGTTGTAATAGTAATTTATATAGTGCTTACAATATCGCCTGAAAATATTGTTACGTTTATGCTTTCAAAGAAGCAGCTTTCGTCTCTTGGTTTCGTTGGGAGTTTATGATAATTGTTTTGTTGTGTTTAAGTTTCTCTTCGACTCCTTATATGGACTTTCCTTCTTTCTTTTTGTGTCTCCTCTGTTCCTGATGTGGCCTTTCCTATTGTTTTTGTGTCTCATTTTTTCCTGATGTGGGGTTTTCCCTTTGTTTTTGTATCTCCTCTGTTCCTGATGTGGTTTTTGCTTTTTTTGTGTGTGTCTCCTCTGTTCCTGATTTGGGCGGTTTTCCTTTTGTTTTTGTGTTCCACCTCTGTTCCCGATGTGGGGTTTCATTTTGTTGTTGTGTCACCTCTGTTCCCGATGTGGGGTTTAATTTTGTTGTTGTGTCTCCTCTGTTACCGATGTGGCGTTTCCTTTTGTTGTTGTGTCTCCTCTGTTCCAGATGGGGTCTTTCATTTTGTTTTTGTGTCTCCTCTGTTCCTGATGTGGTTTTTGCTTATTTTGTGTGTGTCTCCTCTGTTCCTGATTTGGGCGGCTTTCCTTTTGTTTTTGTGTTCCACCTTTGTTCCCGATGTGGGGTTTCATTGTGTTGTTGTGTCTCCTCTGTTCCAGATGTGGTCTTTCATTTTGTTTTTGTGTCTCCTCTGTTCCTGATGTGGTTTTTGCTTTTTTTGTGTGTGTCTCCTCTGTTCCTGATTTGGGCGGGTTTCCTTTTGTTTTTGTGTTCCACCACTGTTCCCGATGTGGGGTTTCATTGTGTTGTTGTGTCTCCTCTGTTCCCGTTGTGGCGTTTCATTTTGTTGTTTTGTCACCTCTGTCCCGATGTGGAGTTTCATTTTGCTGTGGTGTCACCTCTGTTCCCGATGTTGGGTTTCATTTTGTTGTTGTGTTTCCTCTGTTCCCGATGGGGCGTTTCATTTTTTTGTTGTGTCACCTCTGTCCCGATGTGGCGTTTCATTGTGTTGTGGTGTCACCTCTGTTCCCGATGTGTCGTTTCATTTTGTTGTGGTGTTTCCTCTGTTCCCGATGTGGGGTTTCATTGTGTTGTTGTGTCTCCTCTGTTCCCTATGTGGCGTTTCATTTTGTTGTTGGGTCACCTCTGTTCCCGCTGTGGGGTTTCATTTTGTTGTGGTATTTACTCTGTTACCGATGTGGCGTTTCATTTTGTGGTTGTGTCCCCTCTGTTCCCGATGTGGGGTTCCATTTTGTTGTTGTGTCACCTCTGTTCCCGATGTGGCGTTTCCTTTTGTTGTTGTGTCACCTCTGTTCCCGATGTGGGGGTTCATTTTGTTGTTGTGTTTCCTCTGTTCCCGATGAGGCGTTTCATTTTGTTGTTGTGTTTCCTCTGTTCCCGATGAGGCGTTTCATTTTGTTGTTGTGTTTCCTCTGTTCCCGATGGGGCGTTTCATTTTTTTGTTGTGTCACCTCTGTCCCGATGTGGCGTTTCATTGTGTTGTTGTGTCTCCTCTGTTCCTGATGTGGTTTTTGCTTTTTTTGTGTGTGTCTCCTCTGTTCCTGATTTGGGCGGTTTTCCTTTTGTTTTTGTGTTCCACCACTGTTCCCGATGTGGGGTTTCATTTTGTTGTGGGGTTTCCTCTGTTCCCGATGTGGGGTTCCATTTTGTTTTTGTGTCACCTCTGTTCCCGATGTTGGGTTTCATTTTGTTGTTGTGTCCCCTCTGTTCCCGATGTGGGGTTCCATTTTGTTGTTGTGTCTCCTCTGTTCCAGATGTGGTCTTTCATTTTGTTTTTGTGTCTCCTCTGTTCCTGATTTGGGCGGGTTTCCTTTTGTTTTTGTGTTCCACCTTTGTTCCCGATGTGGGGTTTCATTGTGTTGTTGTGTCTCCTCTGTTCCTGATTTGGGCGGCTTTCCTTTTGTTTTTGTGTTCCACCTCTGTTCCCGATGTGGGGTTTCAGTTTGTTGTTGTGTCTCCTCTGTTCCAGATGTGGGGTTTCATTTTGTTGTGGGGTTTCCTCTGTTCCCGATGTGGGGGTTCATTTTGTTGTTGTGTCACCTCTGTCCCGATGTGGAGTTTCATTTTGCTGTGGTGTCACCTCTGTTCCCGATGTGGGGATTCATTTTGTTGTTGTGTCTCCTCTGTTCCAGATGTGGTCTTTCATTATGTTTTTGTGTCTCCTCTTTTCCTGATGTGGCGTTTCATTTTGTTGTTTTGTCACCTCTGTCCCGATGTGGAGTTTCATTTTGCTGTGGTGTCACCTCTGTTCCCGCTGTGGGGTTTCATTTTGTTGTGGGGTTTCCTCTGTTCCCGATGTGGTGTTTCATTTTGTTGTTGTGTCTACTCTGTTACCGATGTGGGGTTTCATTTTGTTGTTGTGTCTCCTCTGTTCCAGATGTGGTCTTTCATTTTGTTTTTGTGTCTCCTCTTTTCCTGATGTTGTCTTTCCTTTGTGTTTTGTGTCTCTTCATTCTTGACATGACCTTTAATTTGGTTTTGGAGTCTTTCTACTTTTTGATGAAACCAATGCTATTTTAATGTGTCAACACCGTAGTAAACATATGTAATTTACTGTTTTAAAGTATGTAGTATTTTGTAATGTTTGGACGGAATATAATTGTTTTGTTGCATTATGAAAACGGTCGTAACTAGAAGTGCAACATGCATAACACCTTAGCACCATGTAATAATAATATTAAAATTATTACAGTTAAGGTTCCAGTGTACAATGTTTATACTTCAGATAAGGACGGAAACATTACTGCTAATTGTTATAAGGAGCAATGTATTTTCACAAATCACTTGTTATCTTTCATCTGTTTTGAATACAATGAAGTCACTTTAAGCTGATCACAATATACATCTATATTTGCAGTTATTTATTGCATATATTAGGCATCTATTCTCTCTTTTTCATGATCATTATTTTATTTATTTATGTATTTATTTATTTATTTTGATTTTGCCATGCATATTAAATTAATAATCGTGAACATTTCTTTCACGTTGAAATTATTTTAAGTTTATGATGTCTAGTGTTTCGTGATCGTTAACGATATCATAACAAAGACGTCCAAATCTCACTAATTACTATAGCGGATGATACTTGAACAACATCATCAGAGCGTCCCTACTTAGGACATATGCATGTGACCATCAGCTATATTAACTGAAGATCGACACACTTTTGTTTTACGTGGTAGTCACAATACGCTGTGTTTAACAACAATGTATGTCAGAGCTAGAGGCTGCAACGGCAGCTCTGGCACAACTGAGAGTTCTTCAACATGTCACCCAGTACCCAAACCGTATGTAGGAATGCTTGAAACAGAATAGAATGTAATCAACCGCTATCTGTTTTCAGAAACGTTTTCATAACATCTTTTTAAAACCTTTTCACTAAAACTACAGATAATTATCTGGAAATGAACATCCAGTTTCGATTACTTTCTTTGCTCCCCATGCGCTATCACTTGCACGCGACCGTTCATTCAGCCAATAGCTGACATTCAATTAGGCCGTTTAACAATATATCCGTTCGGCTGCCATCTCGTGTCTGCACCGCGGGTATCCTCGGGGTGTATTGTTCCCAGTGCCTTACCGGAGACTGTCTATTGTCCCTTGTCAGAAAGACTCCACGGTACTTGATTGTGTGTTTAGGGCACTGAACAAGGTTGTTGTCCCCCTCGCGGCGGAGTTGTACACACTACCGTTATACACAGCCACAGAACTTCATCAAGTCTTTAATTGACTCCACATTTGAAGATGACATCTCATCAAAATACAATTCCCAGCATATATAAGGACCCTCCCTGATCTGGTTGTGCCATCACTCTTGTGTTGGTAACGGTTGTTGCTCATACTAATAGACAGTGTCTAGGCTGGCTAGATCATAGAAGGAATAACAAGCAACTTTACCAGTCATGAAAACTTTAGTGAAGTAATTTTTTTTTTATATATATCTCAATACATCAATTTTATACGTACGTGCAGCCAACATGTCTCACATGTAACAACTGTTGAGTTTTCTTGAAAACGTTTGCTTAATTATATTAATCTGGAAATAATGGTTTCAAATCTTTCGGCTAGCCGCAAAGATTTACGATTTTCTTTTGATTTTTGATATGGAACTTGCTAGAGACATTCCGATACAATTTTACAACTACTGTCGAAGTCTTGAAGAGGAAATAGAAACGCTTTGTGATCCCAGACCTTGTAGTTTGGAGGGAGTTGCTAACAAGTTATTCTTGCCGACATCATTTTGTTCTGCTCCTTCCCACTGTGATTCTTACGTTCAACACCAGGAGGGCTGCTCAGATAATTCTGAAGACTTTTTCCTTGACGGTTTACGCCAAAAACGTGACTCACTGAAATACGACGACGAATTTCCATCCCAACCTCAACGCCACGCCGCAAACATTCGCGAACGAAAGAGGATGTTGAGTATCAATTCTGCATTTGAAGAACTGCGGTCTCACGTGCCGACTTTTCCGTACGAGAAACGCCTGTCTAAGATTGATACACTACGGCTTGCTATAGCCTACATAGCGTTATTACGGGATATGCTTGATGATGACGCGCACGACCCCGTGGATTACGTGGAGCAGTGTCTGAGAACGTGTGAGGGCGGACAACGTCAGGCGCAATGGAACACTAGTGGTAGGACTTTATTCTTTACAATTGTTTTAAATTTAGGGTAAAAAGTATCACTAACTGTTTAAATAAAAAAGCGGGAAAATATATATGTTCAACCAGCTTTTATTGAGTCGTGTATTAAGAAACCTGTAGGTTACTAAAATGCTTTTATCAAGAAACAAATTGTATCGAGGGTTTGGGGATTATTTTTTTTCAACGCTGTATTACAAGTTCAATTTCAGGTTATTTTACTGTTGTTTCGATATAAAAAACGGAGGTGAAAGAAATTCAATCGACGCATCAGTATTGAATGCTGTGTATATATTATCTGCTTATATGTATGACTCAGTCTATACTATGAACTTTTTAAGGGTGTGGGTATTAACTATGACAATCAAATTAAAAACAATCAAAAATAACAATGATAATAAAACAGCAGTCGCATCATTTGTCTTGTATTTTGGTAAACTTGTTCGAAGAAAATGAGCGATTTTCTTTTGACATTATTATGAATTTTAAGTGGTACGAAAATAAGTCTTTAACCTGAGTGAATGCAGTCAGGTTTGTCATCCCTACACATAAACAAATACGTCTGTGTGGTAAACATTCATTAGTAAAACATTAAGGAAATTTATACCAGCGTTAACGGGAAATAAACCACTTTTAAAAATGAGATTTTCAACTATTTCATTCATGTTTTATTATTTTAATAGAACACCATTTATTAGAGTGTATAATTTATGTTCTGTTGAAGTATATTACTTGAATCTCAAATTAAAGTCATCTCCTATAGTCTAAGATTTTTAAAAACCCAATTAGAAAATAATATATTAATTATTCATAACATGATTGAAAATCATATTATCTCTCATTTTATTTTAAATTCTTCGCAATTTTGAAGAAAAGAATATATAATAAAATTTGCAAAGAATATATATATATATATCGGGACCTCCTTTATGATAAAGCATAACTGAACAAGTAAATAATTTTATTTAAATAATCACTCGAATTTGATATCTATTAAAACTTTCAGTAGCAGACACATACTGGCTTTAGGCTTCATCCAGCACATATTGTCATATCGAAGATCAATTGACGTATAGGGTATGAACCTGATATAACATAACTAACTAAATAATTAAGATTAGGCTCTATGTCATAAAATTTAGTTAAAATGAGTGCTAATGCACATTGATTACAGATGCAAAATTATATTACAAACTTATATAGTTTATGTGGAATACTGTTACATTAACTTGTATCAAGACATAAACATGCATTTTTTCATGAAAAGGATTATCTTCACATTAAATATGAGATGCATCGCCGTATATGAAAAATACGAGATGTGTGTTCTTGGTATTTTCCCAATACTGCGCAACTTCGCGTTATGTTATAGCAATAAATAAATAAATTTAGTTGGCTTTAGATTGACAACATATATAATCTAGCTATTAATATAAAAGACATTGTAAAACATACCTGCAGGCTATAACACGGGACCTTATTTTCGTTGAGTATACATGTTGTAAGCAAAGAATAAGGATGTAACAAATATTGATGGTTCCTTTTTTTTCAAGAAATTTTAATAGAACGTTTTGTAACATTTCATTTATAATAAAAGTAGGATTCATTTCAACTTGGTTTAAACATGGTAAGTCATCACAATTTCTCGGACATTGCCGATTACCTTTTAATGTACCTCATATATTGCTATCTGTTCTTATTGAGTCAGTGGTCCACGGTACATTTGATACTCATGCAAATCTTAACATTATTTTTCATTGGTTATTTGATAAATATCTAATATATCACAGGGAAGGATGTTAATATGCTGCGAAATCTTGAGTCCAATGTACTTAAGCATAGTTTGTGAAATACTAATTGTACCAAACTAATGGTAGAAAAGGATTTGTTTTTAAATGTTAATGCGTTTTAGTGTCAATATATAGACAATAATAAGTTTAACTTTTTTATTTCAGTCTCAATTCCATAATCAACTAATTAACTATAATTTCCTATTTTAGTTTTCACAATAGTCACTATCGAATAAATAAGCCGTCATCGACTAGGCTGAACTCTTACTGTGTTGTAATTATAAATGTTAGGTACCCGCTATTTCACAGTAGTGTAAGCAAAGAAAATATTCTATCCAACCATCAAAGAGTTATGAATTAACAAGGAAAACCACCACTTAACGTGAAATAATTCAGACATTCATAACTTGGCTGCCTCATCGTAAAGCTAAACTGTTTATCGAGATATTCTTAAAAACCTCACTGTAATCCCTTCCTGAAAAAGGGGATAATATATATCAAAAATTTTGAGCTTCACTTTTGAAACATGTCGCGTTTTTGTTGTATAAGATATATCTAAACACAGGCATTTTCATTTAAGAATGTTATGCTCGTTTGAGTGTTTAGGTATTTGTCTCTTACAGATTCATTTTTGTTTCCTTCTCACATCATTTATCTACCTTTTATTTGCCCTACTGGTACTTTCTGTGTTGATAGGCCGGAAGTCATGTTGCAGTAATGAATCTTTTTTCAATCACCATTAAAAGTTGTTTATTAGGTCAATTCGATTTATTAAAAGAGCATATTACGTACTTGCACAAAATACTGCAACACATTTTGACATAGGTATACTCTATACAATCTGTTTTTCTTCCTATTATATCTTACTATCATATACGGCCCATCCAAACACAACAGCATTAAACATCATATCGAACTATTAGTATCTGTATTTTCTATGTTCATTTAGAAACTTTAGGTACACAAATTGACCGATAAAACTACTGAAAATAGTCGTTGAGTAACGTGTTTGCAAAGCTAAGGTAAGGTAATAATGATTGTTATAAGAAATATTGTTTAACATTTGCCTATTTTTTTTAATTTTTTTTTGTAAAATGAACCTATTTGTTCTTTGACCATTTTCATGTGTACACCATTCTTTTTATCTAATGAAAAATATAAATGTGGCGAGGCCAAAATATACGTAAAATGGAAATAAAAACCATTCATTTTTAAATTTTCAGATTTAACGGCAAGACTTTCGTGGGTGAAATGGGAAAGTCTTGGAGTACGACGACGCTCCAACCCCAACGCTTACAACCCGAATGCATGCTGACACCTGGCTCACAACTACATGATATTATAAATAGCAATATACAAACACGAATAGAGAGACAAAATCCAATTGTAAAATGAAATAACTTAAAAAATGGATATTTCGCCTTCTGATGAGTTTTATTGAAGTACAATGTAGCACACTTGATAATATCAGGAGGGAATGTGAAAGCCTCATGAAGTGTGATATGATGCTTCTAATTACTAATTCAAGAAATTATTGAATAACGTGATTTTATTAACAACTGGAGTCTGTGAAACATCCTTGCTCAAGAGTGTTTGTGGTTTTGTAAATATTGTAAAATAAAAACAAACTGTCTATTGTTATTATACGATTTTGTTTCTTTTTCTTTTTATTTGCAATGAAATTTAATAACACGGCATATCAGTAAATTGTATATACATGTAAACTGTTAAATTGTAAATGGCACAAAGAAGTTTAATTATTTGAGTTGATGTATAGCGGCTGTAATCCGTTATTTTTAGAACGTATTTTGGTTTTGTACATGAGATGGCAATCTAGTCCGGTTGTCTAACTATCCAGCTACATTGTAGTTAATTCTTTTGGGGAAAAGTTTCCAATTATCTAAAATATGCCCAATGAATCAAGGTTTTTTACAATCAAGTCAAGTTATAGACAAAACGCATGTATTAGAAAGGATCGCTTGTACAAAATGCTTCGTCTAAACAAATAATATTTCTTTCAAATACCAAAAGTTGAAAAGTTTTCTTAATAATCAATACTTTAGTATAAAGTTTTTTCTACGAACACAATGCTGAGATTAAAAATATGGTTATGGTAAAACATTTATGCAGAGATCGCTTCGAAATTCCATTAAGAGATTTTTTTGAATATTTTTTGTTTTTAATTGCTGGTTCAGTTAACGTGAATCGCCTCTTAATACATGTAGTCTCTTAGACTCCAGCAGTTTCATTATGGTGATTTAAATTAATTTACCTGAAAACTAATACAAACTCAAGTCCACGTAACGACCTCGAAATAATGTAAAAAAGTATCGTTATATTTACGCTAAACATAGATTTACACATGGAACTAGATTGAGCATATAAGCACCATTTATGTCCATGCGTAATACTACCTAAAGCGTAAAATAAACTATAAACATTTTATACAAATTCAATAACAACCGTGGCCATTGTAGAAAACTGTAACTAGAGATACAAATAATTAAGTACTGAATCATTACATTAATGACTTTTAATTTACGTAATTGTTGATTAAACAAGAGCAGAATATTTCTACAATGTAAAATCGTATTGATGTAGATGACGATTTGTCATTTTACATCTCATGGTTTCTTTCATGAACAGAGCATCAGTGACCTTCATAGAAGTAAGTTTTAATGAAAAATAAAGTACTTGTATATATAGGATCTTAAATGAGTTTTCATTTCATATGAGATTTTATGAAACGAGTCTTAGGAGTTTTTATTTTTGCGAGATTTGGCGAGCAAAAATTAAAACTTCAAGACAAGTTTACACTAATGACATACGTAAAAATATTACACGGGCGAATTTACTGGATAACAGGCCGATTATGTGATACATAGTTATGTTTCCAACGCAAGTTCTTCAATAAGCATTGTCAGTAGAAATTGTGTTCTTAGAGCTATGGACCCAATTTGATCAGCATTTCGAAGCTTTTCCTCCCGCCTCGATTAACATAAGACAACCGTAAGAACCAAACGTTTTGGTGACATTAGGCTGTTCCAGGAATCTTTTTTGAGCTGACGACACAGATTCTTCAATATCGAAAATAAAAGGGAATATCTATTTATAGGTCCATAATAACTAAATATTTAGCATGTTAAGATGAGGATTGAACGTCATTTTTTTCAATATCCATGCCGGTATCAGCACAAATCGTTTACAAATATATTTATTATTAAATCCTAGCAAGCTTCACGGGATGTGTATGCAACCGATTTGCATTTATGTCAGCACGAAACTGAAAACATTTATTAGATACTTCGATATGAAAAAGACATTGAAAATTGAATTTGAAAATACAATGAACGTTTGCTGTCATCTTATGCTTCACCTTCAATGTTATTACACATCTGTATGTTGTGATAGTACACTAAATGATAAAATTGCATTAATCAGTCGTTAAAAGTTTACTTCTTGTTGATTTGTCTCATTGGGAAATATTCTAATCCTTTTTGCGAAGGGAAAACGATTCTTTTTATTATGTTCGTCAGTATATTTTGTATTTATTCAAGTACCTCGATTATTTCGTTGAGGATGCGACTTTACTGAAATCTGACCTGGATTGACATGGCTCGTGTTGTCGACAAAGCAAAAGACGCTTCCCGTATCAATAATAATCTTGTTTCCCTTGGTTTTATTTCTATGGTCTCTATAAACCTGTTCTTTATTCATATTTGCTCCTACTTTATCAACTGGGAAATTGAATTTCGGCTTTATTTTGAATTTAGAATTGTCATGCCTTTTAAAAGTGGTAATACAGTTCTTATAACACATATACTTAAATGAAAAAATGTCGTAAACATACACATATTGTAAGAAATAAACTTTTCGCGAATATTTATGTATTCACATTAAAACATAGGACGTGTTTTTGTATTCATGTCGAAAATCCAAATTATCGCGAATAGACGGGTCTCCATCGAGCTCCCGAAACCTAGCTTCAGCGATCAAAATTTTATACAAAAATTGCGAAAAATATGTTTTTTTTTCACACAGAGAAAATTTGAAGTTTAAATTTCAGGTATTTATTTTCTACTTTGAAAAGCCCATATGACTTTAAAAAGTAAAATTACACAAGTTCTTACTAAAATAGTACCGAATAGTACAATAATCAGGAGATGAAAACAAATAATTAGGTTTTATATGCTATCTCACCGATGACTGATACAAATCCCAAAATGCATTCAAACCTTTGATTACAATGAACCACTAATACAAATTGGTTTGAACGAGAAGGGAGCAGATCACTCGTAGGTAAACATATTGACCTTTTGAGTATTTTTCACGTTTGTTATTTTATGAGAAACTAACGCAGACGTTAGGATAGCATTTATACAAAATAAAATAACGAAAACAAGCATACTATCTAACAAATGAAACAATTCTTGAATCCTTTCCGGTCAAGCAATTATATCTACCCAGATGTCATCAGAAGTATCTTTTTATTTATCTACAATATCGAGCAATGATATCTTCAATAAGATTTATCAGTTTGGAAATATGTGATATCAAAGTTTTACTTTTCACACAAACAATGTACTATTAAAACTTTGATATCGAGCAATAATATTAATAACCTATATGAGGGAGCAGACTTCGGTTGAAGAAGCCCTTTCTCTGTGGACAACAGGAAAAATTACATTTGGCAACTGGACATTCCCATACAACGGTCGGCTGGCCACTATTGCTCTGTCATTCTCACCCCCATCGGTCGAACTGGGACAAGGGATCATTAAATTGCCGTCAGATATACGTTCCTTCCTGGAAGAAGGCGTGGTTGACGGCATACGGAAGAATAATGTTAACCTCGACTGCATCACCAACAGTCACATACGGACTAATAAAACTGTTGTAAATGTTTACAAAATACATCCCACATTGTTAGAAAATATGCACTAATGTCGAAACAAGTCAGGTATCATCCGATCTGTGTCAAACAATCGGAAGTATCGGTCCATCATCTGATCTTTTGAGAATATAGACTTTAAACACAAAATTCGCATATTTTATATGCTGTTCACCAAATATGCGATTCAACGTTTCCATTAATCCTTCTTTTGACGTCAAAGACACAAAGAGTTTCATCTTTCTGTATGGTTTCTTTCGATTCGTGAAACATGAACGCAGTTAACACGTGTGATTGCACTTTTGAAATTTGATAAAGATACGGTGTGACAAAAATTAATTACACAAGGATAGTCTTTAGATCAGGAACAGAATCCTGAGTTCAATGTAACCGATTTTCCCAGGTGTTCAGACAGCAAGTTTGGGGACCAAGCATGGCCTGACGTCAAATTCAATATATTTGCAAACCATCTAGGTATTTCCACTATTATTTAAATTATATATCGCAATTTGACGTCACGCCATCATTAGTCCCAAAACCTTCTGTCTGTCGGGATAATACGCGTCACATCAAACATCTCAGATATTTCTGCAACTAATAGGCCGTTAGGTCAATACTCTTGTGATGTGCACACGTTCTTACATGTTACTCCAAATATTGTGCGTTATCTTTCGCCTTTTAACAAAATGTACTAATACCATGGCTAAAACATAACACTGTTGACAGGATTATTTTCACGTTGATGATAATCTTGCGATTTGAACACGAAAGTTGAATAAAATGGTGCAGTCAGCGATAGATACACGCACTCTTGATTTGAACTATGATATAACTATACACTTACAGCATTTGTCTGTCTGCAGTGGATATGAAGGATAAGCTCATACTTGAAGTGTAATTTGGGATTTCACAATGAGAATATAATACAAAACAACAAATGAATTTCTTTTATACGACTAAAGATGTATGTATATATTCAAGCTTCATTAGATTTTGTGGTGTATATAAATATATAGAATATAATAATTAGTATCCAAGATCTACCGCTAAGCCTTTCTGCCTTCTATATAAACAGCTTTCACATTTTTCATGTTAAAAAGAACTTGTGTCATAATCTGTTTTTCAACCAAATACACATTTAACATGGAAAGTATATACTGTTATAATCTGAAATTCATTCAATGATTATTTACAAACACATTTTACGTTCTGCGAAAGGAAAATGTAATAGAACCTTTTTGAATTTACAGCAATATTTAAGTCTCACACGAAGGAAAACATTATGAAATCATGCGGATTTAATGTAGAGTGAATAAAACAAGAAATATTCCAATAGCAGAAAAGGCTCCGAAGTTTTATATGTCTACCGTGATACATGTATGTGTGTGAAAACACTTGTTTATATAAAACCGAACAGAGAACTTTGTCAAAGTTGAACTAGATAATTGTCCAATGTTTTCATCATAAACAGAATAAATACCAAGTGAATTTAAATTAATATGTTAATCATTTCACACTATAACTGTGAACTATACAAATATAATATATATATTTCAAACATTTAAATGGGAAATTTAGTACTGCTTTGGAAAATTGTGAAACAATGGCAAAACATCATAACATCACCTATTCATTTAGAAATTAAATGGAAAACATATTGTTTAAACAAACTTATGTCTGCAGTATCAAATCCATTTTTTAATTAAAATTATTTTGGCGCTCCTGCCTCCCTCTGATAATTTCCAAAGATCCCTTTACGACCAACAAAACCAAAAAGGCTTAAGTAATGAAAAAATAGCATGTTGTCTTTATGATTAAAAATGCAATACTTTCCAACACAATGACATAATTCCGAATCAATTTGCTAATCACCAGGCAAATTTTTAACATGCAAATAAATATCATGCAAGTACAAGCACGCAAGTAAAATCACAACAAAAGAAACAATTCTTTACATACACCAAATTGTATTTATTATTATTTGCATTCAGTTAGCACCGAGTTTCATTAATTTTATAACGAACACACTTCCACTTCACATTATCTAATAACTTCAAGATATAGTCCAGTACACACAAAAATATAATCTTCAACTACTTCACCTTTGAATATAATATCACAGCAACTATATGAACTGTGGAAAGTCCCTTCAGATAATAACTTCAACAAATGTGAACGTCACCGCAAATGAAGTGCACGCGACAGTCCCTTCAACTTTAAAATAGTACATATGTAAATGACACAGTAGCTGGTAGAGTGAAATAAACACTCAGTCAACAACTGTTGCACAGATGAACGTCACAGTAACTGGAGCGTAAGTGAGCAGTCCCTTCAGTTGACAGCTACCACACTGATGCACGTTGTACTGTACACAACAACCTCTTCACCGACACCTAATACACAGGTGAATGTAACGGTGAATGGTTCAATTTACAACTAAAACACAACTGAAAGTCACAGTAATTGAAGGGTACGGGACAGTCCCTTCAGTCGATTACACAACACTTGCTTCTGTTGGTTCAGATTCTCCTCCAATGCTTTTGCTTCTGTGAGCAACTTGTCCAACCTTTCTGGACACGCTGTCTCGTACTCCTCACATTCTCTGGAATTTAAGGATTTTTGTGGCTGATTTGTTGTGTTTTGCAATCGATATCCAAGTAATTCTTTTTTTTTAATTTAATTTTGTTTGTATTCATTAATCAGATATATTGTCACATTTCATTTAGATACTGGTATGCTGCTTCATTTCTTCCAGAACATCTCGGCGATTCAGATATAATGGTGTAAAAAATAAGTTAGACTGTTATGGCACGAGAAGAACGTCTCAACTAAATATTACAATATTACATATCAAGTTTTGGATACGCAATATTATTTTCGTAAATGCAAAAATATTTAGTTATGACACTTTTCTCCTGTGCTAATATCCAACTGATTTTTACATCTTAATCACCGAGATGTTCTTGAAGAAATAAAGAAACATATCAAAATCAACTGTGAAATTATCTCTGGTTTATGATTAAAAACAAATGCTCGTCAAGCCATCGTTTTCCGTGTACACATTTACTGTTGACGCTGTGAACTTGATTTTAATAGACACAGATAGTATAACAGATTTTCTTTTCAAATGCCATTATAAGACTTGTTTGTTTTTCCTGGGACACTTAATGCCCAGTGCAATTCATCTTTAGAAGAATTTGTTTAATAATATGACATTGTGGAACCCAATATGTTGGGATATATTGGAATGCATTGCCCAAATCTATAAAAAATACTATTGAGTTTTATATAGCTTTGTTTACTATGTGAATGAAAAGGTAGCAAGAAAAAAGAAACGGTACTACATACATCAAATAACCATCGATAGTTACATAGTCTATGAAAATAATACAATAATATATGAATATAATAAATCTAAGTTCCTAATATCCTTACGAGTTATAAATGGACAAAATGACAATAAGATGCAGTAGATATGTACTTTGACCTTTGCATCAACAATCTATTTTTTTTGTGTTCTTTTTAAATAGGTGCTTATTTACCCGGTACTTTGTATTTTTAGTAATCGTTCTTCTATTTAATGATTATTTTTACAATGTACTGAACAAGGAGATTGTCTCTGCTTGTGCATTACCAGACCCCTGTAGTCAGAAGTTGAAAATTGTAACATACTGAAGGGTTTCTTTACGTATTTTCATTATTTTGACCGAAGTGCTGCTGACAAGTCTTAAATGGATGAAATGGACGTTTGACAAACGGTGCAGTAAATATTTACTTTGTCCATACTTTTTTCCCATAGAAACACCTAGCTTTGTATTTCTAGTGATAGTTTTATCGTTTTTAATTATATTCTTTGCCCAATAACTAGAAGATATTTCTGTACATGTAATTGATGTAAATGACATGTCTCAGTAATGTTTCTTCATTGTGACAATGTAATGACCATAAACAAATGAAGGAGTAAGTATGACAGACATTGACATGTTTACACTTAAAGGCCTAAGAAGGGGACAAAGATCTATAAAACGTCTTGCAGACCACTCCCACATCCAATGGCTCATACACTTATTGCAGTGGGATACAGTGGGTCTAACTTTCCCTACAACCTCCATATGTGGAGATTCAGGGAATTCCATCTTTTATCATAATATCATATTAGTTTGCTTGAGGCTCTATTTCTTGCAACAGCTGAAATTATAATAATGATGATGAGGTCACTCTAAGGCATTGTAAAGTGCCAAATTGAAATGTCATAACATATCAACAGTAGCATGACATATTAGCTGGCCACATTACTCTTACCGAGGGCTAACCAGTTGTACCTAGGGAAACACGGCTGAAATTAAATTGTAGATAGGACAAAAAAAAGTGTTGTGGTGGAGTTTGGGGGTTGGGGAATCAATTTCATTTTTCTGGTGTTCTAATTCTTCACTGAGTCCCAACATTGAACATGCAGTTGTATACAGCAGATAATGTTATTTTCCCACAATAACTTATTTTATGTAATTAACAGACAAAAATTAAGAAATAAGTCAAAATAACTGCTTCTGAATTGATGATGTTGTCTTATGCACTAGTGAAGTTATTTCATGATGGGTAGTACTGTATATTGGGAAACTTTCACTGAAGTTTAAATTTTTGCCTTTTTTAGCCCTCCATGATGAGGACACAAACAACATAATATACACAATAAAGAAACGGAAAGGCGAAATTAACACTGGGAAAAAATGATTTCGTGAGTGAAGGGCGAAAGTCTGACTGGATGAAATTTCCCAGAATAATGTATTACCTGTTACACAGTCAAAGTTAAGATGATGGTATAATTATACTGAATTGCCAGGTGAAACATTTAATATTCCCTCCTACTGATGCAAAGTTGGAACAAAGTGGTACTTGGAGTAAGAAAGAGTGTCACCATTAGCTGCCAACTAAACACATATTCTGGGCTCATCATAGGAATATTACTGGAATAGAACTGAAGCTGTATGTTATACATACATACCTGAACACTTTTGAGAACTGATGATAAATATTTTTAGTTTCTTCTGACATATCTGAAAAACAAACAGATTCCAATTTTTGAATTCTTCTAATATAGTTAATAGTAAAAATATTTCATTAACACGCTGTAAACAATCCAATGGTTAAAAGCTGAAATTTACTTTGAGCAGTACTGATAACCAAGATCAGAATATGTCAATGCTGCTATTAATAAGAGTAAACATCAACTGTTATCACTATGTATCGGAAAATGATTACTGCAGTTTTACTTTCACTGTTGTCTGAGGGTGAAGTTATGACTGCTTAGGGTGAAATGATCACTTGAAAATATGGATTTTTTTTCAATTAAGAGTTAGTATTTCACTCGGCTAAACATTTTCTGGATAAGGAGAGAGGACCCCAATTAAATCATTAACGATAACTCTTCACAAAAACACTTTTCAATATCTTAACATGCATGTCAACAGTTCATGTATTGCATATAATGATGTAGCCTTTTAATGCAATCATGCAAAATGTTTTGTCAACAGATAATTAGTCAGTTCAAATGACATCAGAAGAAATATTTCCAATTCATGAGTTAGCCATTTAAGTGTTCTATAGTTCAACAAGAGTACCGTGGGGCGGAACAATATATGCCCATTGAATGCCATATAGTGTTATATACTTTCTTACATTGAAATAAGATCTACATCATTCTAAGAGTGGTTAGCTGACATGCTATAAAAAATGTAGGAGAAAATCTCTGGACAAAAAATCAAATACTGAAATGAACAAAGGGCAATAACTTTTGCAAAAATCGTTGAAAAAAAAATCTTTTATGGGAGACACAACTTCATATCATCATTATAATGTATACCAAGTTTCAAAGAGATCCGTTGAAAAATGTAGGAGGAGATTGCCGGACAAACAAATGTTTACAGCAGACAGACGACCCCATATCGTAATACTCCAGTCAAAATATGACAGGCGTATAAAAATGGCATATGTGAGGATTGTGCCATCTGTTTTGGACAATAGGAACAAACTTTGATTATAGAGTCTTAAATATACTTCTATTCATATAAGATAAAGATAATTATAAAATGTTAGTATGCCATCAATTATTTTCTCGTTTGAAGCATAAGCTATCGCGTCATTCAAGCCATGATCCATTTTGGGTATGGTGTGCTACTATTAATATTTACAATAATTAGAAACGGTTCTTCAGGTAAGAGATCAGTGTTCTATAAATATCCTACGTGTTCCTTTGATTTGCACATATATTGATTTTTTCTCTTCAATATAACAATAAATAAATGATACTCATCCTCTGAATTTTCATGGAGAGAGAAAATGATGGTGTGGTGAATTAGTTTGGAAATCATCACCTTATACAGAAAATTATTTTTCACCACAAGCATACAAATAATTATTCCAAGACTCTAATTTCCAATTCCAATTTATTTTTCAATTTTTTAATTCAATGATAAAGTTTTGTTAATCCCTTCCAACAATATGTGACTTGTATTCACTTTTAAAAATCATAATTTGGAAGTAATAGCACATTGCTTTGTACATGTATGGTTTAGGGTGTGACACCACATGTACAGTATGTGTTGCCACAAGGGTGAGAAGGGAGACAACTCTAATCAACTTGGATCTAATACCTATTGTATCTCCTATGAAAACACTATTAGTGTATTATAAAAAAGGAAATAACTCTGTAAATCTGACTGGTGGAAAAGTCAAGGGCAGATATATTCACACTATAATTAAAACTGTAAATCTGACAGGTGGAAAAAGTCAAGGGAAGATATATTCACACTAATTAAAACTGAGGAAACAGGTTAAAATAAGTTTTAACATCTATAGATACAATAGACTATAGAAAAGAATTGGACACAAGTTATAACAAATCATAAAAGCTTTTAAGACATCAGTTAAATCAGTTCTTTATATATATAAATGATATTTCAAACGGTTTGATTTACCTTTAATGAGATTCTCCACAGGGTGAACTGACTGGTCGTTTTGTGAGGGAGCAGACACCCCAATACAGCCCGCTTCTGAAAGTACACCATTAGCCTGTTCAGCAACTTCACCCAAGCTGTACTCTTCATCCTCTGCCACGGTACAACAAAGTACAATCAGTTATTACTCTTTCAACACTGTTGTTGCATGGAAATATTCATCCTCAATTTCCACTTTTGTAGTTTAAGTGAAACAAGAGATCCCAGAGGGATCTTGGCGCCCACCTTTGTATCATCTTCATTAGTTCTTTGTCAGTTCAATCTTTTCTCTTCTTTCCTCTAATCTGTTTGATCGAGTCATGTTAACAGTAAATGCACCTTGAGGTAACTTTTGATCTAAACTTAATACTTATGTGTATGAAAGCCAACCTTCAAAGTGAGTTTGTCATTTCACATATTTACTAGTACTGTACTTAATGTGAAAGAAATAGAATCGATCATTGCAATATGAAAAAGATCTGTTTAGTTCTTCTTTTAATCCATTTTGGTTTTTTTGATCAGTCTCAAAAAATATAACATACACAACGAGAGATCAAGGGGAACCTACATTTAAAATTTGAGAAAGATCCCTCCCGTACTTCCCGAGAAATAGCGATAACAAACTTTCACTATCAAAAAAATCCAAGATGGCTGCCTGTCGGCCATGTTGTTTATCCGATCAGTCTCTAAAATTGCTCTGCACAGCTAGGACCAAGGGGAACCTAAATGTACATATAAAATTTAAGAAAGATCCCTCTAGTTCTTCCGGAGAAATAGCGGTAACAAACCCACACTATCAAAATCCAAGATGGCTGCCTGTCGGCCATGTTGTTTATCCGATCAGTCTCTAAAATTGCCCTGCACAGCTAGGACCAAGGGGAACCTACATATAAAATTTAAGAAAGATCCCTCTAGTTCTTCCGGAGAAATAGCGGTAACAAACCCACACTATCAAAATCCAAGATGGCTACCTGTCGGCCATGTTGTTTATCCGATCAGTCTCAAAAGTTGCCCTGCACAGCTAAGGACCAAGGGGAACCTACATATAAAATTTGAGAAAGATCCCTCTGATACTTCCCGAGAAATAGCGATAACAAACTTTCAATATCAAAATCCAAGATGGCTGCCTGTCGGCCATGTTGTTTATCCGATCAGTCTCAAAAGTTGCCCTGCACAGCTAAGGACCAAGGGGAACCTACATATAAAATTTGAGAAAGATCCCTCTGGTACTTCTTGAGAAATAGCGATAACAAACTTTCACTATCAAAATCCAAGATGGCTGCCTGTCGGCCATGTTGTTTATCCGATCAGTCTCAAAAGTTGCCCTGCACAGCTAAGGACCAAGGGGAACCTACATATAAAATTTGAGAAAGATCCCTCTGGTACTTCTTGAGAAATAGCGATAACAAACTTTCACTATCAAAATCCAAGATGGCTGCCTGTCGGCCATGTTGTTTATCCGATCAGTCTCAAAAGTTGCCCTGCACAGCTAAGGACCAAGGGGAACCTACATATAAAATTTGAGAAAGATCCCTCTGGTACTTCTTGAGAAATAGCGATAACAAACTTTCACTATCAAAATCCAAGATGGCTGCCTGTCGGCCATGTTGTTTATCCGATCAGTCTCAAAAGTTGCCCTGCACAGCTAAGGACCAAGGGGAACCTACATATAAAATTTGAGAAAGATCCCTCTGGTACTTCTTGAGAAATAGCGATAACAAACTTTCACTATCAAAATCCAAGATGGCTGCCTGTCGGCCATGTTGTTTATCCGATCAGTCTCAAAAGTTGCCCTGCACAGCTAAGGACCAAGGGGAACCTACATATAAAATTTGAGAAAGATCCCTCTGGTACTTCTTGAGAAATAGCGATAACAAACTTTCACTATCAAAATCCAAGATGGCTGCCTGTCGGCCATGTTGTTTATCCGATCAGTCTCAAAAGTTGCCCTGCACAGCTAAGGACCAAGGGGAACCTACATATAAAATTTGAGAAAGATCCCTCTGGTACTTCTTGAGAAATAGCGATAACAAACTTTCACTATCAAAATCCAAGATGGCTGCCTGTCGGCCATGTTGTTTATCCGATCAGTCTCAAAAGTTGCCCTGCACAGCTAAGGACCAAGGGGAACCTACATATAAAATTTGAGAAAGATCCCTCTGGTACTTCTTGAGAAATAGCGATAACAAACTTTCACTATCAAAATCCAAGATGGCTGCCTGTCGGCCATGTTGTTTATCCGATCAGTCTCAAAAGTTGCCCTGCACAGCTAAGGACCAAGGGGAACCTACATATAAAATTTGAGAAAGATCCCTCTGGTACTTCTTGAGAAATAGCGATAACAAACTTTCACTATCAAAATCCAAGATGGCTGCCTGTCGGCCATGTTGTTTATCCGATCAGTCTCAAAAGTTGCCCTGCACAGCTAAGGACCAAGGGGAACCTACATATAAAATTTGAGAAAGATCCCTCTGGTACTTCTTGAGAAATAGCGATAACAAACTTTCACTATCAAAATCCAAGATGGCTGCCTGTCGGCCATGTTGTTTATCCGATCAGTCTCAAAAGTTGCCCTGCACAGCTAAGGACCAAGGGGAACCTACATATAAAATTTGAGAAAGATCCCTCTGGTACTTCTTGAGAAATAGCGATAACAAACTTTCACTATCAAAATCCAAGATGGCTGCCTGTCGGCCATGTTGTTTATCCGATCAGTCTCAAAAATTGCCCTGCATAGCTAAGGACCAAGGGAAACCTACATATAAAATTTGAGAAAGATCCCTCTAGTTCTTCCGGAGAAATAGCGATAACAAACTTTCACTATCAAAATACAAGATGGCTGCCCGTCGGACATGTTGTTTATCCGATCAGTCTCTTGAGAAATACCGACAACAAGAATTGTTTACGGACGGACGACGGACAACGGACGGACGATGGACCACGGGCGCAGGATGATTTGAATAGCCCACCATCAGATGATGGTGGGCTAAAAAACTAAATCCATGTAAACTTTGAAGAACATTTTTAAAACAGGTTCCTTTTTCAAAGACAATAATGTATTATTTCTATACTTTGATTGTTTTTAACATTCCCAGCATGTTCATATATCTGTTAATCAGCCTGAATCCCCCTCCCTTCATCTGTCTTTCATCCTCTTTCCCTCTCATTTCCACTGTCTCTCAATTTAGTGTGTTTTAAGACCTCTAGAGGCATACCAGTGTTTGTAATTCTGTGTGTCTGTCGGTCAGATAAAAATAACCTTTTCTTCGTTTGGAAAGATATCTATAAGTACTAAATAAAATAACTCAAATGGTATTGCTGAAAATATAAATTTTCTCTGAGTGAAAAAAAAAAGAAATTGTCTATCAAAGAGAATGTGTAGATGATTGACAGTTTACTTCTAAACAAAAATGATAAAGGGACATAACTCAATTTATATATACTTGGAATGAGAGGTTACACTTTGCGTTCCCAATATGTATACCGTAGTATGTTATGTTTGGTAAATAGGTGAAAAGGCAAGAAAGTTATATAATGCTCTAGACAATAATGATGTGCAGCTCTGCTAGTGTGACACCGAAAGCAAGTAGATTTTATGTGGGGGCTAGTGATAATTTTCATTATTCAATATGAAAACTAGAACTGTCCCCAGAATGGCAGATTAACACCCCTGCCTGTACCATAAACTGCAAGAATATTTCTTTCCAGAGGTTTTGTAGAAAAGCGGCATATCTCCAATTGACCATAAATTCATAACTCATTCTATATATTTGATTCACATGGTCCCCTTTATGTAAGAGTTCTGTATACCAAGTATCATCGAATTCGATACTGTACTTAAGGACTTCCCACCCTTTGTAATACACAGGCTTTTCTTGTCATACTTTCGTGTCATCATTTCTGTATTGCGTATTGGGCATTTCTTAAGGAGGCATATAACTCCATTAATAGTGAAGTTGGCTCCAGTCTTTATAGTTTTTAAAAGCATTATGTGCACAGTGTACTTTGTACTTTGGGGAAAGTAGTTCCAACAATTGTTCTTAACAAAGGGTTTAACTCCATGAATCGGTATACGAAGTATCATTGAAAACGGTGCTGCACTTTGGGAAGAGTAGTGCAAACAATGCTTTTTAACAAAGGGGCATAACTCCATAAATTAGAGAGGTAACTCCAATCTATGTAAGCATTCACATCCCCTCTATGTAAGGGTTCTTTGAGTTTGTATAGCAAGTATCACTTAAATCGGTGAAGTACTTTAAGAGGAGTAGGGCAAATAACCTGGTATCTACAGACAGACTGAGGGACAAACAGACAACCCGATTCCAGTATATCCCTACACTATCCCCTATATTGAGAGGTCAGATTTTAATTTGATTGATCCCCTATACAACTTACAAAAATGAAAATTGTACACTCCTGGCCTAAGTTTGGTATAAAAATGAGAAGAAGACCATTACTATGTAGTTAGATGGGGGGACCTGAATTTAGTATACAACTCATGATCAACTGATCTGCCTAATCCCGAGTATGTAACTATAGAAAGTTTTGTGATGAGGGCTGAAACGAATAGCTGGATGAAGTGGATTATCAGACATGATCTTGTATAAAACACTTCACCTGATTTCCAAAATACATACAGATTTGATAAGTATAGCAATAAAGCCTAAGAAAACATAAGTGAAGGAACACAGAAGTTCTGCTCTACACAAAATATTGTCGACAGAAGCCAGCCAGAGCCAGCCAGCCAGCACAAAGGCATCAAATGGTTCATAACTTGGACATAAGACGTAAATTATTGAAAAGTAGCAGGGATCAATATTTAAATAAAAAGCAAGGAAAGATCACTGATAATATAGAGCTATATAAAAATCTTAGAACTTTGAACTATTTCTTTTATTTTCAAATTTAAACACAACTTGTTCAATACATAAAAAGATTAAGAAACAGGATAAGCCTAATTGCCCTATGTAATCGCTCTTCAATATTTAAGACATTTCAATTTCAATGTATCACTACAATTTCGAGACAGGTAAATGGAGTATTCTTTAGAAGCTATTATATGATCATTTTCATATTCTACTCCGTATCAGCCTGAGGGGCCGTGGGCCTGAGAGCTGATATTGGTCCAATGCTGAGAATGAGTAGGATATGGAAATGGTTTTATGATAACCTTTTTATAATATACTGCTCAATAACATCAAGATTATTAATAATCAGAAATAAAGTTTACACAGAAAATTTGCATTTCATGAGCATAACTATAATCATATTCTACCTTAAATAAAATACAATGAACAGAAAAGCAAATACAGATGGATATGCAGTGTGTACACGACCAGTTTGAGGTGGGCTTTTTCCTAAAAAGCGTTGAACCGGAAGTTAAATGGATAATATGGCATGTGCTGGGCATATATCATACCATATCACAGACAAGTATATAATGATATTACAATACATTAATTATTATTAAAACACATGCTCATACCTTTGTTTATATCTCCATCTCCTCTCATTAGTTTGACTTGTCCATAGTGGCAGGATGACTTTGGGATGTCTGGAGTGGCAGGGGTCACAAAACCATCCTTCTGTAGGAAAACATGAGTTGTAGATATAAATATTTGAAACATGTGATTGTCATTGAACAAATTTCATTACGTATTCAGAATTGTTTCGTTAAATAGATGTATATGTATGTTTTTCATTATTTAAGTAAGAAGAAAAATGTACCAATCAGAAACAAGTCTTATTCCACTACATATCATTTCCTAGATCTTCCTTTTGAATACCATTCTCATAAACACAATTTTTAACCATGCTAAAAATATTAGTTCAATTATCCTTACTGGCCTTTATTAAGGGTTCATATAGCACAACCAGTGAAGTTTTGATGTTTGACATTTTGATGACTAGAACGTTATGTATGTTTTGCGGATACGAGACAAAGTTTGTAAAAAAATGTATGAACAATTATTTTATCTACCATCATATTTTCCTATTTCAGAGTTATTGCCCCTTATTATCATTCCTTTAGAATTAGGACAGAGAATGCTTCCCAGCAACACCAGGAGTAAGTCGAAGAACAATACTATTTATAAGGTTTGTTTCAATTAAGTTTAACTTTTGTAAAGGAAAATATCTACTTTTAAACAAACAGGTATGATCAGACAATAAAACACATAATTCTAAATACCTCTCCCTACAAGGTCTGTTTTTTTTTATCATTTTTCTATAAAAAAAAATACTTTTGACATTTTTATACATATAATTCAAAATATTTTTATGAGCTCTCTAAACTTTAAAATGAGATGATTATGGAATGGATAGGCATGTTTAAGCTTCAACCTTTTTACTTTATGGCTTCATCAGAACTTGTACATCTTAGAACAGTTAATGACACTGGTTATATAATCAGAACTACAATGTAAATCAAGTGATGCTATTTCATTTTTTTTTTCAAATGCTTTAAGATTATGGATTTATTCTTTTAATCATCAAAGCAACTTAGAAGTTCCAATGGACTGCAGATCATTATACCATGTCGCATAATGCTATGCAGTATTCATTTGGACTCGATGTATATATTGGGACACAATACTTGATTTCATTACACAACATTCTGTCTTCTTTGATAAAAATAAAGCAAGCTTGGTAAACATATGTGAAAAAGCAAGGCAGTTTAGCTCGAGAAAAATTTAGTATTATCGGAGATGAACAAAGGGTCATAACTGTATATAAAATTTGAGTACACGATCCAATTTAATTATGAGATATTTCACTTTCCCCAGATAAATTTAGTAGAGCAAGTTTGGTGAACTGCAAAGAGAAATAGCAAGTATGGTACGCTTCAGATCATCCTCGATATCCAGGGGTTACGCTCACTTTCGCTCTCTGCACCCTTGGAATATGTCATAGCAAAATTGAAGGCACTTAGATAGCTGTTTGATTGGTTTCAGGTAAAAAAAAACTGACCAATCACTAGGCTTATACCTATCCTTTGAAGATTACAAAGGAGGGAAGCCCGACTCTAAAGCCTGTCATTGTTTACCCTTACATGACGACTAGTTCGATCCTTTGATGTACATCAAAAGAATCTTGTGGTCATGTAAGGGTAAACAATGTTTGCTATGACATACTCCAGGGTTGTACAGAGCGTAAGTGAGCGTAACCCCTGGATATCGAGGATTGCTTGAACAAAGGGCGCTAACCGTGCATACATAATAATAATAATAATAATTTGAGGTTCTTATCTACCGCTTATCACAACCTAGTTCGGACTTGTAGGTCGTCTCAAAGCCGTTCACAAATTATTAACCATGGTTATGGGGCCTTTGCAACCAGCCAATATCTTTTTCAACTCCCTAAGGAGCATACAGCCGTTGCTGCCGTTTAGGCGCTCCCAGCTAGCATTCTACAATTCTAGCACTGCCCAACCACGTACTCATTTACAGCCGAGTAGACTGAAACAAGCGGAGTAAAGTATCTTGCTCAAATATACAACACTGTGCTGTGCCGTGACTCGAACCCGCAAACCTTCGACGTCCTACCACTAGACTACTGTGCCTCCTTGTGAGGCACAATGCAACATTCTGCTTTCCCAAGACTTGTGTCAATAGCGTTAAGTAAGCATATGCTCCAGAAAAAAATGTTGATTCCAAGCCTGCCAACACTATACCACAATATGTCCCATATGATACAGGTGTATAACAATTGAAGTAGGGAGTAAGCAATTATTACTTATGAGTCATACTAGTATTGAAATTGTGGAATGGTTTCTTTTTCCTTAAAAATGTCAGTTTTTGCTTTTTATCCAATCTATCACTTTCAATGTCTTGGGGAAAAAAAATACGTAACGGATCCATTTATCATCATTTTCTCTCGAAAGGTGAGCAAAAGCAATTATTGAGTACAGAATCATGTAAGAACAAATCAGGTATTACAAAAAATTTGACATCACTTCTACTCGAGATGGTAGTAAACTGGGAAGCATGCTTCTGCATCGCTGAAAGTCTTGCCCCAGGTAACATTACACAGATCAATAGAAAAGTAGGGATGGAGCAGTGACATGTTGCTTCCAACACGTACTAGTAATTGTTCTGTTTTGATTAGTGGAAGGTCTGTTTGTAACACAACAACAAAAAAAATGTATTTTTTTTTAAGAACCTGACAGCACTCAGCAGTACCATGTATTTGTAGAGCTTTAGGAAGCAATATGTATAAGGTACATGTATCACTTCTATGCTAGTGCATTATATCTCTCACATATTTTCCCAATTATCTTATTTAGAAGTTCCATAATGGCAACCTACTAATTACCTTTGGAACACAATCAATTTCTCAAGTTAACAAACTTGAGAAGATTCCAGTAATTAAACCGTTAAGAGAAGAAAAAAATAAAGTAAGCATTTTTGATCAGATCAAGGCAGAAAGTGGGGTGAGGTAGAGACAATGTGTACCCCAAATTCGATTTTTTTAATTTTTACTAAACCTGGGATACAGAAACTGACACAAACAAAGCCACTTAACTGATTGGTCTCCCTCCAAAAATTAACATCAAGACATGGAAATAGACTTACAAACGTCGCAGCTTCAACTTAAGAATATTGAACTTCACTGAGATCCTGTATATATATACTGCATAAGACCCACTGTAATTATGATGTGACGGAACACAAAACATGATTTTTTATTTGAAATACTGGATTTAATGTAATTAGAAAAAATCCTTGCATTTTTTTAATTTGATTCCTTGAATTCTTTCAAATTAATTAATTTTACATAAGATGACTCGATGATTTTCAGAACTTGTCTTGAAATGACTAGCTTTGTGAAAAAGGTAGATAAAACACTGTAGTTTTTTTTCACTTTGATTTATCAGTTGTAATTTTCAATGTTTACCTAACAATCAGACCTTGATTGTTGTTCAAAACAGTGATAATTTCAACTCATAAATGTTCTATTCATAAATGGAATTCAGTATTCAAATTTTTCAATATGGCGAACTCAAAGCAGATTTTTTCCTTTAAGGAAAAAATCTGCTTTAAGTTCGACACATCTAGAAATTAAAACTTCAAAGATTGGTTTATGGAAGTTAGACTGTAATAAAAAAAGGTCTGACCAAATCATACATCTATTTTCCTTTTCTTTGGAGATGTATTTATACTTTGACAGGCATCAATGATCTCTTGTTCCTGTAAAAAGCCATCTTCTCTCTTTGTTACCCTGAAGAAAGGATTTTCTTCGTCTCCATGATCCTGGTTAAATTTACAGCTAAAAAAGAAATAAGCATTTATGGAAAGAATTGATTGTTTTATACCAACTAGAAAGTAAATAGGATAACTCAAATTGATAGTTAATTTTTGGTTTTCCCTAGAAATATTCAACTTTTATGATACATACCTTATTTTTTAAGGAGTTAAACAAATTTATAATTTGAAATTCATATTGCATTATAACTTTTATATACATATTTTTAAACAAATATTGCAATATTTTGTTATGCCTACTGTACAGTACAGTACACAAAGTAAAACAAGTAATCAGCAGAGCAAATCTGTTGGAGGGGTTGGCGCCATTGTGTAGGATTAGCTCATAGTCATACATACTATTGTGTTAGTCCAAAACATCATGCTTTTTGGAACACATTAAAAAAAAGGTGAAAAAACACAGGGACCTTAGAATTCGTTACAGCTAGTATCTTTGGACCTAAAGTTGATAACCCCTAAAACCTGTAACATCACTCAGAACGCATCAGTTTAGGTCCAGTTGTTACAAATTCTCATGTGCAAAACGTAAAATGCTTTTAAAGTAACTTACGAAGGCTTGCTGTTTTCATATCCTTGCATATCCTGGCCCTCCTCTATAAGCGATATATTCTTAAAAGCATAAAAGAAGTAACGTTAGATGAAATTGTAAAATCGTTCAACGTGTCAGTGAATGTAAGTTGCCTAACGTCATGCATGCATCTTTTTCAACTTTTATGTTATAACGATGTTCCGTGATAAAATATCTTGGCTTTTATGTTGGGTTTACGCTTGAGAACTATCTTATTTTCAATTACCTGTTCTGGTTCCATATCAATAGTATTTCATGCACTACAACCATCCATTGAAAGGCAAATTTTCATACCAAACGCGCTCTGCAGACGAAGCTGTTTACATCAGAGAGTTCCCACGAAGGGAGGTAACTCTGCAAAACGGTATCATATACACGGTTATTGAATATGGTGAATTTCTTCCTGGGTAGCACTTAAATATTTAGAATGAACTCTTTTAATTTCTGTATTTAATGAGTACGAATTTCTTTTCTATACCAATATGATGCAACATTCGAGGACTTTAAGGCACGCATACCCTATACAGCCCTTGAAGCCCTCTTCATACGTAGTACATATATATATATATATAGAGAGAGAGAAAAAATAAAATTAACGACCGACTAAAAAAATAGCTGCTTTCACCCTTCACAGGGCTCTTCAGGTTTATTCCTATATATATATATATATATATATATACCCATGGCCATGAACAAAAAAAACCCTTATCTAATCACTGTAAATGATCTTTTTTTTTCACGCCTCTGTGCACGGGTTCCCGAAGGCACATATACTAAAGAAGAAGAAGAAGAAGGAAGAAGAAGAAGGAAGAAGAAGAAGAAGAAGAAGAAGAAAAAGAAGAAGAAGAAGAAGAAGAAGAATTCCTCTGGGCGGGAAATGACTAAGAGATATCGGGCGAATGCAGCTTGCTTGATGAACGCAGAAAATAAAACCATAGTAAAAATGCCATAAAAATGGAGATCAATGTTTTAATTTCAACGTTGGATTTAAATCCATTGAAGTTCAACCCGGATCCTTTGAAATATGATCTTCAATAAAAAGTTTTTTCCTTTAAATGTTTTAATACAGCATAAAGCTCAAGTGCTAGAGTATGATACTCATAACCGATTTTTAACAAAATTCTCTCTATCATACGTCGCACATGTGTAATCAACGCTTGCTGCTCGAACCCTGTTGTTTTATCAGGAATTAATCAATTCTGTCTTTATATTATTTTCTTCATATCTCTGCCCTTGTATACGCGCACTGCATTAAATACAAAGGCCAAAACAATGAGTTGAAAGAATGGTCAGTATTGTGGTTAGCAAAGCGTTTGGATACTTCACTTTAGTTGTACTGCATGTCTACTAATGAGACATGTCTACTAGGTAAAGGGAAGTAACTCAGAGCCAGATGTCTGTTGGGATCTGGCCCCTTCTGTTTTCCTCCCTGTATTGGTAGGATGTGTGTTCCTTATCTTAAAGTACATTGTGTATCGTCATGTCTTCACAACACGTACCCTATTCCTCATGATAAGTGGTGTGATGACTACTAGTATGTAATGCCACGGCCATGAGTTGACCTTTACAGTTACCCCCTGAAGCTCCATACAGGACATGTACATTAATATTCAAACACGAAATACATTTTAAAAAAGAAAAATGAAGTCCGTAACGTATCTGGTAACTTGTCTGAAATAGCTGTGTACCTAAGATGTGTCTTACAAACCTTTATGCATGAAGTGCGGTATTTCGTTATGAATTCTTGGGCGAACGACCCTCGGGGTAAATATATAAATATATATCAAGTCATTTGTAAATATATAAATATATGTCAAGTCATTTGTAAAAATATAAATATATGTTAAGTCATTTGTAAATATATAAATATATGTCAAGTCATTTGTAAATATATAAATATATGTCAAGTCATTTTTAAACATATAAATATATGTCAAGTCATGTGTAAATATATAAATATATGTCAAGTCATTGGTAAATATATAAATATATATCAAGTCATTTATAAATATATAAATATATGTCAAGTCATTTCTAAAAATATAAATATATGTTAATTCATTTGTAAATATATAAAAATATGTCAAGTCATTTGTAAATATATAAATATATATCAAGTCATTTCCCTACATCCTCATTGGTTGGATTATATTCATGTGGAGGTCGGTGATTTGTGATATTTTCTCTGTTATAGTTTTTAGAAACACAAGTTTATTATTCACTTTATGACGTAATTTCAATTGTAACGTCACAAAGGTCTTTCCCAAATGCGGTACATTCCTACGTATACTTTTCACATGTTCCACCTCATTCGATGATAAAAAAAAAAAATTGCGACTAATAAAGCAATTTTAAAAGGACTTTTATTTCGGCTAATACGTATATATACGTGGTTATATGGACCTGAGAAAGTGATATTAACCTTCACTTTCGTCTCGGTTAATATCACTTTCTCGGGTTCATATAATCACATATTAACCTCACAAAAAGTCCATTATTGATAAAGTTTAAAACTTCAAAGAAATATCACATATATTTTAGAGATACCCATAAACTTATTCAGGTATCTCAATTTATTTATGAGAGATATCTTACAAGCAATAGAGATATTTCATATTCATTTATCTAGGTAATTTAAAAATATATCTAATACATATACGCACCAATTATATGCAATTATTTTTAATTCATTTATCTAAACTTTAATCACATGTATCTCAATTTCTTTTAGAGCTATCTAATTTTCAATCAAAGATGTTACTTTTACATCTGTATTTGAATTAGAAATTTCTCTATTTCATTTTAAGATATCTATGATACTTCTGCGACCCCGTTTGCCATTCAAAAGGTGTATATATAATTATATCTTCAAGAGCAATTAATCAATGCATATTGCTATATTGTATAAAATGAAAGAGATAAATTGATTTCAGCGGAAAGAACTCGATTAATAACAATCGATTTGTAATGATAGAAGAAAATACTGTTAAAACTGAAACGATCATTTTCACAGGGACTCGGAGCAATGAATATATGTTGTGCACAATTAAATATATTTTAGTGAATTTTGAAACTTGACCTCTTATGGAAAGCTAATTAATTATTAATCAATTGACCAAAAACATATTTTGTTTCCGGTTCCGTAATGAAAGTTCGCGGTAGAGACAGCTGATCCGCCACCTCCAGCCTCAGCAGCAGTTACAAAGGATACAGCTGAACACACGCTATAACCGTCCAATACTTAACCACGAATGAGGAATTCCTTTCAAATTTTCGTTCTTTTCGTAGCCTTTTCAGGAGCCATTCCGTTGTTGTAGGTGGCAGTAGAATAGCTATTGACGTGCTGGTCTAGTGCGGGGGCATAATTATGGTAACAATACCATAACAACACAACGACTATCAATTCTAGAGCTACAGCTGGGGTTCGTATATAGAACTACAAGAGGATATAGGTCTAGTACATGTGCCGCCTATATTGCTGCCAAGTCAGCAATCAATATGCATTCGATGGCATCAAAGTCTGTTAAATTGTCCCATTGGACCATATTATTGTAAAAATATAAAACATTGACATGTGCGTCTGTAATTATGCGTAACCTCTGTGAAAATGGTATACGGTGCATAAATTGAGTTCGATTTTGAAAATTCTTACTCAGAATGAGTCAATAACGATATCGTACATGCGTAAATTAAAATACCAAACTGTTTTGTTTATCGAATCCCTAGTTTTCCCCAAAACTACAATTAATGTGGCTTTGCCGAGGGTTCCACTACTGACCGTATCATATACGACTAGGCGTAGTATCGACCCTTGTACAAGAGGACCTCCATAAAAGCGTGCCTAGTCGTCCGCCGGAGCGCCAGACTTCCCGCCAATACACGACTGTCGTCAGGTATGGAGCTCTGTCGCGACTCCTCCGGTTACTTAAACGTATCTGTGTTTAACATGTGGACATGTGCCTGGTGCTATAAGTTTCTGTTTCAACAAAAAACTTCAAAGAAAATCACCTTAGATCCTGACTGGAATAGAGGCTCACCACTGCTGGTTTCCCGGAACAGTACCTTTAGTGCTGTGCCGAATGTAGACAATCCCGGACAAACTTCGCTAGTCTGTGGCACTCTTGAAACCGCGGACTGTGTCCGATGGACGTCCTGTTGCCGGGCTGCCAAAGCCTGTTGTCAAAGACAGACACGTGCACCTCCGAGAGGGCACAGCACGTGTCCAAGCACATGGGATGGTTTTGGTTGTTTTGATGAAACGGACGCTGGACAAACGGCGGTCATCACGTGCCCAGAGTTTATCGAATACGGATTTGTATCAGGTATGTCAACTTCAATTTAAATTTCATAATCTTTATATACGAGGGGTTATACTGTAATCTGTATTTTTATTCAATTAGCCAACGTTTTAATAACACATATATATATGCATAACAAAGTGATTGGAAAACAAGCTTGGAGCTTTACGGATTCGTTACCCAACTGATATTACTAGAGTGACCATTTATATCAACTGTATGAAAGGCGCCAGGAAGCTTCGCTCAAAAGATGAAACTTGTGAACAATTGCGTTATTCTCGAAACAACGTTGAATGAATTCAACGTTTTTTTCATTAAATCATATATTCATTTCCTTATGCATATCAAGCAAATTGTAAAATTTCACCATTTACACTTAATGTTCCTTTAAAAAACAAACAACGTGTTGATATCACATTTTCACTGAATGCCGTCACTTTTGTACATTGTACATGTAACCTTGCAAAACACTGCCAAATAAAGTACCTTTCTCATGACGATTCTGACACATACATTCTTTTTAAATGATAGAAAAGCTGAATGATTTTACATCTATTATAAAATTGAAGGCCTACGTCTTTTTCTGTGAATATATGGTCATACGGACATGAGAAATTCGTCTCAGTTTTATCTTCTTTTGCTCATGTTCATTCAACCACGCATTAATCTCATACATGTTCGTTATTGATCAGTATTAACTCACATGTGACCACATCTAGGCCAATGAGAGTTCAGGAAATGCGGTTTTTAAATCAAATGTTTTGCTAATCATATCTTCCATGTCGGCATGTTGAGAAGTATGACGTTATAACGGCATGTTGTGAAGTATGACGTCACGCTGTTATGTTATGACGACGTTACTATTTTGACACGAAATAGGTCGGCAAAACAACAAATGTCACTGTTGGGTCATATACCATGTTAAAGTTACAGCATGGGTATATTCCCTATAGAACTCGTAGATGTAAATAATAAATGATAGATAAATTTACATATTTCAAATAACTGCGTTACTGGTATAACTGCTATTTGTATCACTACGCTATGTATTCCAATAAGCTATGCTTTTTTAGTATTTTGTACGGTGAACCAATTTACTACATTGAGTCAAAACGGGACATCAATTTATAACAGTCTATCATATGTATTGGTATGTATGATATGGATATTTTACCAGATGGTTTAGAATTTCCATAACCCATGGCCACACACCCAATTTGGATTTCCACCATTTTAGCCCCTAGCATTACCGATGAAGCCAGACGGACGAGACAGCTGTATGGTACCGTGTACATACTGTATCTGATACAGAGGAAGTTTTACATGTTTTAGGGGTTTAGATCGTTTTTCGGTAAAATGACACCCACAATGATCATTTATATGATCATTTGGGGTGTCGTTTTTACCGCCTTTATTCGATCTTAACCCCTAATACATGTAAAATTACTCTGAACACCTTAGTTTAGGTCCAAATATAGCTGTAACAAATTATCAGGTCCCTATGAGAATTTGTAGCATAAAAAAAATCGAATCATGGCTGTGCGCGTGCGTTAACAATGGAGGCGGACTGGTTTATACTGAAAACATTTGTTTTCATTGGTTTATATGTTCTATACGACACTTCGAAATGACAATTAACATGCAATTTGATCTAACTCGATCATTTAACTTATAAAATGTGACAACATGCACAAACAAATAATGGTTTAGGTCAGTGAGGAATACATTGCCTTATATCAATATTCTTGTCAGTAGCCGTTCCATGTGCACATTAACCTTCAACGAAATTATGAAAACGTTGTTACTTTCCCCATTTTTTAAATTTTATTGTTAGTTTAAAGCGACCTCTGTAAGACGGATTATTTTCCTACTCCTGTGTGTAGCGCTTATTCCGTCTTTGCGTATTGCAGAGTTATCTTCTCTTGGGAGCAGGTATTGATTGTTACGTCAGTTGTTTGTGAGAGTAACGTCATCAATTTTTGAGAAAACGACGTAATTTTCTCACACAAACCAATGACGTAACAATCAATACCTGCTCCCAAGAGAAGATAACTCTGCAATACGCAAAGACAGAATAGATAAATATTGGTGAACCACTTCAGTGACGTCTTTTAATTAACACCAGTTATGATAAACACATTTCCCAAAAGTGGAGATGCATTCCTTGGGTCTTTGAAATGTTTTTCTGAAGCAATTCCAAACTAACTTTCCCTCATATGGATTTACTATGATGTTGGCGGGCGGTATACAATACCCAAAATCCACGTAAAAGATAGCCATACACGCAATAAAACTGTGCAATATGAGGAGTCAGATGAACATATATAAATGTTACTGCCTATTCATCATTTATGTACAACTTACCGGTATCAAGATAAATCTATTTTTATAGAAAATGTCTCTTGAAATATATCAATATGCGCAATAAACCCGTGCAAAATGAGAAGTCAGATGAACAGATATTTGCGGTATTGCTTTTATTACCAACTTGAAATATCCTTTATATCCATATTATATATTCTGCAAACTTAATTTTGCATAATTCGTACCAATGTTGAATTATGTATCCTAAAACGTGAACCGAACAACACTAGCAAATAAAAGGACGTCGACCACGAAACTATGACGTCATGTTACCATGGTGCAAATTCGCGCTGAAATGTTAGAAAATTCTTCGTGTTTCAATTGGTCGTTTTGATCAGTAGATCACAACTGTTTATGGATGCGATGATGAGTGGAATGGTGATGATAATGATGATGATGATGATGATGATGATGACGATGATGCGAATAATTTATAAGTGAGTATGAAATAATGAAAGTAAACATACATGTCTGAAAAAACGAGAGGTGTGAATGGTCGTATTTATGAAATTTAACAAAAAAAGATAGTAAAAATTGAGTGAAAGAGGTACATTATGTATGGCGAACGAAAACCCTCCGACGTTGAGCGTCCGTCTAGGAACTATGGGGTCGCAGGTTCGATCGCCGGTGAAAGCACACTATTCTCTTTCCTGTTACACTACGTATACGTACAGTCTTTACAGTCCCCGTAGATCCAGGACAGGGCCTTGGAAGGAGAATAAGGGATACATCAAGCAGTGGGTTTTGCTCTGTTTTTGTTTTTCTGTATACAAATTTAGCGGATTCACCTGCATATCAGCGTGTAGGTAGCTTAGACAGTGTCAGATATAGGTATAATAAGTCAAATCTCGCGATATAAACGAGTTTTCTCCGTCCGTTTTAAATCTGCAGAACTTGCTTCTATAATAAAAGAATTTCCTTACTGACATATTTCTAAACTGATGTTATGATCTGTCAATACTGTTGAATATTTTATAACACCACTTTACCGAAATAGATTTTTATGAAACACATATCAAAGTCAAAATTGTGAATTCATATTTGTGAAGATTTTATGAGCTGATTTCTCCCGTTTTATTCTACCGGGTGATATTTTGTCCCGATTTAGAAATAAAAGCCAGTCCAATATCCGTTATTATCTTGAAATGCTTTCCCCTGGACATCGCGGCTTGATAACACGTTTTGAGTGCCGTATAAATAACTCCGTGACGTGAAATCCCGACAGGCACTCAAACTCCTTTACAGGCACAGTCCTCGACACACAAATTCACTCAACAACTCAAAGGTACGTTGTCCGAACATCTGATTTATAATTTATACTTAACAATAGGTTATAGAACACGTATGTAGCACGAATTTCAAACGATTTATCAGAAAATCTTTTATATGCGTCATATTTGAGAAATTAAATCTGAACATTTTTACAGTGAATGCTGACGTTCCTGACTACGCGGGAATTCCACTGGGCTTATAGCTCAGCCTCGATATTAACATAACCCCACTTAGGCAACGCCTAGTGGAGCTGTAGAAAACAGTTGGAACTAACGATAAGATATTAAAGACCATTAGGTTTGTTCAATTTTCTGATGTTATTTTGTCCCGCAAACAATATGGCGAAGTTCATCACAGCTGGTTTGCTGTAGAGATGAACTGTTTAAACCAATTTATAGTACAATTACAAATTTTCACACATTTTAAAAGTAATGTTCCTCTCGGCTTTAACACTCATTGTTCCGAGCGAACGCTTTTTCATATATCCCCAGAAAAGTAAATAAAGACAGCTGATACTATATGGAACCGTATGAACGTTTTTTATGCACGTGTGACCTGTAAATAAAACTTCTTTTTAGAGATAGCACCGGTTATTTAAACATGTACGACAGTTACCTGTCTACCATTAACGATTTTATTATCAAAGAAAAGACGAGGAAATATCAATTGTTCCCAATCGTCATGTTGACTGATGTATTTGTCTATATTGGACTGTTGGAATACAGTCTCAGAAAGTCTGGAAGCTTGTCTGACAGATATCAGTATCTGGATGAACGCCAACATGTTTCAACTTAATCAGGAAAAGACGGAACTTATCGTCTTTTCCCCAAAGTGTCAGCAAACAATGGCTCTCCAGCTCAAGGTTGGTGCCAGAACTATTGAGACTGTTCCAGTTGTTAAATACCTAGNGTTGGATTATGGTAACGCCCTGCTCTGTGGTATATCTGACAAACTAACTAGTCGTCTGCAGAGGGTCCAGAACACTGCAGCACGGCTAGTTACTCGTACTCGAAAGAGAGAGCACATCACACCTGCGCTTTATTCGTTGCACTGGTTACCTGTACGATACAGGTCGCAGTACAAAATTCTGGTATACACATACAAGGCACTGAATGGAACAGCTCCTCAGTACCTACAGGAGCTTGTTACCCTGTATCAGCCGTCAAGATCACTGCGGTCGGAGTCAGAATCTTTGTTGTGTGTCCCAAAATCTCGTACTGTGACCTACGGAAACAGATGCTTTGGGAGGGTTTCGGCTACGTTGTGGAAAAGCTTACCATCTGCTATCAGGAAGTCAAATACGCTGGCCAAGTTCAAGAGGGACATAAACACTCACCTCTTCACGTCTGCATTTAAGAATCTTTGCCAAGACGTCATGTAAATACCAC